TCCATATATCCTCAAGGTGTACCATTATGCTATGAGTCGAACCCTCTTGCCATAGGTCTTGATCTAAGGCTCTAGTCTTCTGGAAGTGAACCTATGCTACTGATCCGAAGATCCTCAAGTCATAGGCGTCGTCGTAAATTCTTACATAAGCATACTAAACTACTGATCCATAAATCCTCAAGCGTTTAGATTGTCAACTACGACATCTAGGTTTAGGCGTGCGTCGGTCGGACTATAATATCACTTAGTTGCACATTCTAGGTCTAGTTGTGCTACAGCCGTAATACTAGCCTAACCATAGGATTCGTTTTTGATCTAAAATCTTAAGTTATGATTTGAATTTATAGTTTTTAAAACATAAGGGTGTATTTATAAGAGTTTGTATAATTCTTTATCTGATTAGTGTTGGATTATGGGTATATTAATAATTCTATGTTTTTGTACTTCAAGGATACTAAGCAAGGATCGGCCAGATGAGAACTGTCGGATGGCAGGACCATTTTAGAACATAGCCGTTCTGAAATCCGGCAACCCAAGAGACAGTTTAACCTAGTCACCTCTCCCGTAAGTAGTCTATCTGTACTATAATTAACAATAATAAGTTTATTAGGTTTAACTAATTTAGAGTATATTCCCTAGGTTATATTCGTAGTTCCTAAGGAATTACTAGTTCATTATACCTGTAGCTCTAATACCAATCTGTCACACCCCCGGCCGACGGTGTAAACGTTGGGTTATGCGACGTAAGGATATTGGATCGATGCATATATATATATATATATATATATATATATATATATATATATATATATATATATATATATATATATATATATATATATATATATATATATATATATATATATAGAGAGAGAGAGAGAGAGAGAGAGATAGAGAGAACATAACATATAAGTATATCACAAATGATACTTTTATTTAATATAAATTATTTGGTATTACATTGTTTAATATGTCAAGCACACATCCTAAACATAACTAGAAATGACAAATTGACGGAAATAAACTCCAGCAAGCTTCCTTGAAGACCTCATCCTGGGCACGACTATCCTCCACACTCATCTCCCTGAGAATACATGTATTTTTTAAAACGTCAACATGATGTTGGTGAGTGCACATGTTTTTATAATTTTCTGCTTTATTTTGTTGTATTAAATTAAGAATCATTTTTCTTCTTTTAGAAAAATATTTCTTAAGATATTTTATCAAACCTAGCTTACTATCTTTTTAGGATACTTTACCAATCCTAATTTACTATATCTACATGATATTTAACGATCCTATCTTATTATCTTTTTGGATATTTTATTAATCCTAATTTTCTATCTTTTAGGATATTTTACACATTTTATCTACCACTCTAAGGTGTCCATCTTGGTAGTCGAATTTCTAAGGTGGTTGTAATGTATTACCATGAGCCCCCATAATCGAGCACGACGCTTCATCGGACTTCGAATAGTGAATAACATGAAAGTTATCCTATCGGGATTGTAGCTACCAATCGCATGTGGGGGTGTTAATCCCCATATAGATGTATACATATCTTTATAGCTATCGCAAGATTAATTATTATAGGTTCGGGGTAGCCGAATTTAATCAGCCTAATGATGAATAATATCAGCTCACTAACGCATTAACCTTAGTTATTTTATCATTTATATTTATTTATTAGTGATTAAATATAACTATCACAATATAAACCCCTTTAATTTTATATTTGATAATTATATCTTTTACATCTCATAATTATCCTATATATATATATATATATATATATATATATATATATATATATAATTTGCCATACATATATACCCTAATTATGGTTAATTTGATAACTAGATATTTAGGCAGAGTAACGATTAGGTATAGTGAATATCCCTATGTCTGACCAACATTACTTCTAGGTACTATGTTATCCTTGGAAATTGGTCGTTATAACATCAAGATAATATCTCTTCCTAGACTATCGGACATCATAACTCTTAGGCATAATATCATAGCTTACAACTAGGTATGACATCTATAGCCACATTATCCTAAAGTTTCAAGCTTGATAAAACAATTGATATTTATAGATATAAATATATTTTAATAAAATAGTTCGATAAGCATGTATCCCCCCTCCTCCCGGTAAAACTGTTAAAATAGTAAAATGGGGCCGTTGACTGTTGGTGTAGGGTTGAATCGGGCTTGGGACTCCAGGGAGCACTCCAAGGGTAGCAACTTTGAGAGATGCAGAGAGAGAGAGAGAGAGAGAGAGAGAGAGAGAGAGAGAGAGGGGTTTAGAATGATGTGCATAAATGATTTGTACTGCCTTCTATTGATAGGCATGGATTTGGGGTGCGCGTGGCATAAATATATGTATGTGGCGAGTGTGATCATCGTGGTTCCATCCAAAAAAAGCCATGTATCACTACCCCAATTGGCCACGTCACTTTCAATCTACTCGAATCTGGTGTCAAGTGCGCGACGGGCATAAGCGCGCACATAAAGATTTTGTAAAAATAATAACTACTCTGTGCAAGCTCTGATCTAAGCCCTCTTTATATCTATGTGATGATCTCAAGGGGTACTACAACTCTCCTTTAGGTTGCTTTTGCTAGTTTTGACTTTCTTTTTTGTGCCTAACGGAGGTAAAAATAAATGATTTTATAAAAATCATATCATTCTCATACGGATCCTGTTTTCGACACTCATTGTCCTAAAGTTTTTTTTTTTCTTAATGAGTACTATGAATCCCCTTTTTTCACTTTTAGTCAATACTTAATCAATCTCTAAGTACCGTTTTGACGTAATTTATTCTAATTACGCGGTTGATTTTTAGTTTAAAAAATCCATAACTCTTTCCTTTGGACTCAGATTTTTACGAGTCTTATACCTTTGGGGTCATGTTAACGAGTACTTTCCAAGTATGTTAACCAACTTAAAAAACGGTATAACTTTTTGGATGCTTAATTTTTTAGCCTAACAGTCGTTTTAACAATAAATGTAACGACACATTTGATTTTTATTATCCCAAAATCAAATACTACAATATTAAGTTATTACATCTATTTTTCCTACTCTTTCCTGATGGTGATCAGTGACGGAATCCTCTCGGTTGTCAAAGATGTGTCACTGTATAGAAAACAATACGTCACTATAAGTATTTTATGAACATCGCTAAATTTCTTGTGAATAAGTAAATATACACAATAGTCATTCTATATGAATATTTTTGTCAGTAAAACTATTTGATGTTGACTCTTTAGCTTTTAATTGGTGACAAAATATACACAATAATCATATAAAATAAATTAAAAATGACTGTAATCGTATTATAGGTGACGTTTATCAAAATAAGATAGATAGCACTCCAAAAACTCGCTACCATATAGTGACGGGTTGACTTATAACATCGGGCTTTCATGGGTTATAGCTACCAGAATTCAACGTCACCATAGGTTATCATTAATGACACCACCTTTCCTCAAGCATTGAATAAAAAAACATCATAAAATGTCTTTAGTGATTGGTCTGTTGCATCGACAAAACATTAGTTTTGTACTAGTGGATCAAAACAGCCAAGAACTTGCGCATGGCTCAAAGGAAACACATGCACACACCTTTTTCTACTCCAAAATGGCCAGAAGACTACACAAGTCCATTCTAAGATTCTAGAGTTATTCATACACAAAGAAGCTCAAGTTTAAAAGGCTAAAAGGGACCAAAATCTCATCTAAGGCCTATATCTAAGCATGAATCAGAATAAAACAATGAACTTTAGTACTTACAATGCCTGAAAAGCGACTAGAAGATAAAATCTTCATATGTAAATGATTTCTCCATGCACCACAAGATTACTTCTTTTTCAAAGATAAACCAAAATTACTCTAAAGAGGCACAAGGGGCTAGGGTTTTGTATACAGAGGAAGGTTGGTGATAAATGGAAACCTAGCATGTTAGTTCCTTTATATTGGGCCTAAAGCCTCAAAATTAGGGTTTTGTGCAAATGTGGCTTAATGCCGCGCTTAAGATATGGGTTGCGTCGCTACTTATCGATGTGGCTCATGACATATCACACATAACTCGCGCCTCACTTTAACAAATATCCAAAATTTCAATCGTTCTTCAAATCAACTAGACATCGTACAACTCGTACCTAAAAAGTGGGAGTTATAATTTTCGCCTAGATGAAACCATGTACATCAACAAATACATAAAGGACTACAAAGTTATTCCAATTTCTTTCCAACATATCAAAAAACCTTTCATACGTATCATTCACACCACTCATAATTAAACTTGTATATATAAGAGTGAGTAATATGCATAAAAGCTTGGAGGTTTTTTATGGATGGGGAAACATTCAAAAATTGATATAACTGTGAATGAGAAATTAAATATCCTTTTACATTTATTGTTATTTATCTTTCTACTTATTTGAAATAATGACAAATATATTAAAATGTAATTAATATTATCGAAACATGACACTTGTCATCATTTCTCATTGGTATGAACATAAATAGAAACAAAATGTAAGAAAATATTAAATACCTCATTGGTAAATCTTTTGTTCTTCAATTTAAAAAACGTAATTATATCGTTTGTTGTAGTTTTTTTTCCTTATACTAGATTTTATAAAATATTATATTATATTTTCCATTTTGAATATTGATTATATTTATACAAATATGTAACATTTAACCGCCAACATTTATACTTACATGTTTATTTCTTTTTGTTATGAATATTATTGTTTTTAGACACATATTAGAAATTAAATCAGGACAAAAATAATAATAATAGTTAGAAGTTTTTTTTCTTCTATTATGACAATTGTTTTCTTTCATACATGTATACTAAATTAACCTAGGACAATAACATACTAATATATACAACTTTTTTTCTGTCGTGGCTAATAAACGCGACTCTCTGATCACAAAAAAAAAAAATTTTGACGACTATATAAATTTAACTTTCGCTAAATTTTCATATGATTAATTTCACCTTATTATTTAGTTCCTTAAAGTTTCAAGCAATACAACCATCATTACACACGTTGCATACAAAATTTATTCATATCAAGCTCACCATCCATCAGGAAGGCATGAAGTCACAACTGACCATCATAAAAGCTTCCATGCTTTGCCTCCATTCATATTAAATTTCTTTAGCCTACCAAAAATCATAACTACAATCAAAATTAGTTTGCCCCCATCACTCCATTTTCCCGAGAACCCGTACCACTTGTTTTCACAATCTCCATCTAGTTTCAGTCTACGATCACAACTATAGCCAGTAGAGAATCCCACATTTCCGTACGCACTGCAATAAGTTAAGATCCAAGTGACTATTTAATGAAGGATTTTGAGATGCTAACTAGTATTATAATAATACACCAGAATAAACTTGTACAGAAGGTTTACTTACATCAAGCGCTAATGAGAATTTATGCTTTATATATTGCATGACTTAAACGAGGATAATAAGAACTTATGCTTTATATATTGTATGGTGGAAGCTAGATTCTTGGCTTGGCTACTTTCTCTGTGATGTATTGACTTGAACGAGGATATTACTACTGAGAATGTAAAAGAATAGAAAAGGTCTCAAAGACGTTTGTCTGAGAAGGACAATAGTGCTAAAGTTATTTAGTCCCTTAAGAATATATACCGGAAGCAACAAATTTCGAAGGGTCACATCTCACCACTACGTTTCACCGTTGTGTATTTAACTTTTAAAAATACGATTCTTAAATAAAAGATAACTTTTTCATTAATTTTAAACGCCATTGGTATATTAATGCTTGTGACCTGAAAGAAAATTTAACCTTCTCATTAGATTCTTTTTCTGTTAATGAATGTTATCATTAAGAAATCTTATGAATTAAAAAAAAGCATATTTCTTCATATCAAAGTAAATGAGTGTTTTGATTAATAATTTAACAAATATCTACATGTAAACTTTGAGGTTTTCATAGCATAGCATGTAGTAAAAGTCTTTTTAATTTGTTATTATCTTCTTTCAGTTAATTACTATAATAAGAAAACGATATTAAGCAACTATAATTCTATAATAGTCAATGTTCTTCTCATATGGCATCATAAGATTTTACATGCAATGATATTCTCGAAATGAGAAATTAAATATCCTTCTACACATTTAAATGATGCAACGTTCATATTAGTATCCTAAAATATCATTTAGTTTCATTAAATGAACATTAAATGTTACAATGATGACATTTAATTTCTCGAAATGAAATTAAAACAAGCAACTTTAATAGATAATAATATTTAAAAATTTAAGAAATATCTACATGTAAATTTTGAGATTTTCATAACATGCAGTAAAAGTCTTTTTATTATTATCTTCTTGAGAAATTAAATATCTTCCTATCATTTCTTTATATTTATCTTCTTACCCATATGAAATGATGATAAGTGTCATATTTAGATAAAACTAATGATATTTTAATACACTTGTTATCATTTCAAATAAAAATAGGAAGATAATATGAAGAAAAATAGGAGAATATTTATCTTCTTTCGGTTAATTACTATAATAAGAAAACGATATTGAGCAACTATATATAATTCTATAATACTCAACGTTCTTCTCATATGGCATCATAAGATTTTACATGTAATGATATTTTAGAAATTAAAACAAGCAACTTTAATAGATAGTAATATTTTATTCGAAACATAACCTTTGCAATAAAATAACAAAAAACCATTCTTTATTAGTTATAAAATAACGATTTCATTATTATTATTATTATTATTATTATTATTATTATTTTGCGATCATATCAAAAATTGAGTTTTTACCAAATAAGTGTTTTTTAAATTTTTTTCAAAATTTAGTAGCTTTTCTGAAATTTTCAGTATTTTATTCTATTTCCACTGTTTTTTTAATATAACTTTTTTGATATTTTTTAAGCGTTTTGCTATTAATGTGTATCAAATTTGTTTAGAACACCATTTTAAAAATAACATTTGTTTGATAGAAACTCCTTTTCCTATGAACAACTAATTAACAGGGTAAATTTGATGGAAGAGAGATTTATAATTTTTTTCTAGATAAAGTTTGAAGCATTTTGAACGTATCTTAGCATTGGTTTAAGGATCGAGTTTAACATATTGGATTGGTTATCGAATTTTTCCAAAAAACGAAATTCTTGTGTTGGATATGGTTATAATATTTGGGTTATACCCATCCGATTATCTAATCTTATTTACCATACTCCAAACCATTTATATTATAATATTTAGTAAATGGTTTAAAATTAATAACCATTTACTCTGGCTATTCCAATAACTTTAACCTATAATACCGTTTAAAATTAAAATTGAAAATTTAGACCTAAGATTTATGCCGTTTTGTTCTCATGTCTCCAAGTCCGTCTCAAGTCTCCAACTCCGTCTCAAGTCCAAAATATATTTGTTTGATATTAAATTTGTTGATGTTAATAAAAATTTGGATTTATTAAAAAAAATTGAAGTCATATTTTTAATTGATTGTGCTACGATTTCACGTAATGGAAATTTCAGTAACTAACTTTTAACATATTAAGATTATAAACAAGGATTCCTAATCCCCAAGGTTATCTGTAAACTCGATTGGTTATTTTGGAATGAGGTATTCGGTGGGACGGGATCCGGTTTAAAATACAATCTTTTAATCGTATATTTGAGACTAGAATAAAAAATACACGTCCAATTGTCATTCTTACTTATAATTCCTATGAAAGTAACATGTTATTCTCATCGATAAACCTTTTATGGTATTTTTCTTAAACCTTTTATGTATGCAAAAGAATTTCTGTTTTGACTAGATCAACAAATTATATTAAGTTCTTAAGAGAAAATAAATAATAATTAAAATAGAACCTTAGAGATATCAAACCAAAAATAATATATAGCACAACCTAGAACTCGTTTGACAAAAATAGTTATTAGCTGGAATGGGTATTTTGATGATATTTTTAAGGTTAAATCTTGGTTTGATAATAAACCATGTTTCTTTTATAAATTTAGTGGTTCGTACCTTATTGGGTTAATGTCATAAAAACCCTCAAGTTTTCAAAGTTTTGTTGGTTTTGTCCAAAGTTGAATTTTATTTCCGTTTTTACCCTAACATTTTCGAAAAAATGTTCGGTTTTACCCTTTTACCGGTGCAGGTTTTCCAGGTTGCAATTATATGTATATACTTATATAAACATGTTTATGATTAAACAAGTTTTTTTTATTGATATGTATATTTTTAAATACATAAAAATACGTATTTGTAGTTCTAAAAACATATTAATTTGCTTTTTTTACATCTTAAATGGTTTATCCAAGAAAAAAACCTATACAGACAGACACACACACACACACACACACACACACACACACACACACACACACACACACACACACACACACACATATATATATATATATATATATATATATATATATATATATAAAGAAATAACATTAAAAAATGTAAATATAATATTTAATTAAATTTTTTTTCGTATATAAATATGATTTTTCTGCATGAATACGCATAATATGAAAAAAAAATACATAGGGTAAAAGTGTAAAAAAAATTATAAACTTAAGGGTAAAAACGTAAAAAAAACTGTAAACTTAAGGGTTTTTTGCGAAGTTAATATGATGGTAACCTGTTATTAACGGTAAAAGGGTAAAAACCGAACATTTTTTGGAAAATATTAGGGTAAAAACGGACATAAAATTTAACTTGGGCAAAACCGACAAAACCCTGAAAACTTGAGGGTTTTTGTGACATTAGCCCTACCTTATTCCAATGACATTTTTGGTGAGTTAACATATTAATGCAGTAAGATATATTTTTAAGGTACACATTTGGTTACTTTTAAAAGATTCATAAGTAGATTTTTTTTAAAACATAAAATTATAAACAATTTACCAATAAAACAAAATAAATATGATGCCTTGACATAAAAAAACACTCGGTGGTATATTGACCAATTACTACAGAAATAAAAACTTCATAAGTTTATATATATATATATATATATATATATATATATATATATATATATATATATATATACTTTTAAAATGAATAAATACGTATACTTATGTTTATAAATATGTTTTTATATGTATAAATTCATAAAATAATAATAATAATAATAATAATAATAATAATAATAATATGACACATTATTTAATTTTTCCAGCAAGATATACTTTGAATATAATTTGTTAGGCGATGTAACACAAATACCCATTCAACCTAATGGTTAAAACGCTTCCTTGCAAGCTAGGAGACAGAGGTTCGAAACGGAACCTGTTACACCCACTTCCTCCCTTCCTTTCGTTTTTCTACCTTGTGGAAGGAACAATGCTGACGTGGAGCTACGTCAGCGCCAACTCCTTCCCGATATTTAAGGCATTAATGAACCAAAAAATGGACTTAGGACATAACCGAACATTTTGTGTAAAATTATGACCCAGAACGTTTCAAGAGTTGAACCCTATTTGGAATATCTCCAACATCTTCTATAAAAGAACTGTATAAAGAAGTATTGGATAGAAAAGTATATTTTCAATATACTAGCAGAAATGGATAAATATGGAAAAGAAAATCATGTTCAAATATTCAATGAAAAAAATCCGTTTCTAAATTCTAATTTTTTGGTGTACCCAATCCTTATCCGTAGTATGAGATAAATCTGGTCTGGTTTTTTAAATCCGGGTTTGCCTATATCAAGTCTCAGATTGAATTTCAGATTTTTAAAGAAGTCGGAGTCTATAATATATACACATCTTCGCACATAATAGACACCAGTATAGTGAATAAGAAACTTCTATGATTAGAAGGCTTACATTTCTTCTATAATTTGACCAAATTTTTTTTATCTGTTCTCCCATTTTTCCTAAAAAATAAAGGGTTGAAATTGTTTTTTTAAACCTTGATTACTATAACTATTTTTTTATCGTTGGGGCCAATCGACCGTAATGCCACACCGAAGGTCAACTATTGTGGGAAACATATTCTTTTCATATATAATTTTTTGAGATGTTTATTGTAATATATATTGATTTTCTCCTCTAGGTCACAAAAACAATTTTATGTAATGGTATGTATATATGTATGAGAGAAAGAGAAGGATAAGGATGTAGTGATGAGGACCGGAGGGTTAATACCTTATGACTTCAACAACAATGTTTAAGACATTGAAGTTAAGAGGATCTTGAATCATTTGTTTCCTCTCAGTTATGCAAACAAGCATGACAAAGATTACTAAATAAGTGAGTTGTGAGAAGATTAATTTCTCCATAAATGTACTACTTCTTTTGCTCCTTTGTTCGAAATTCTCTTCCGTCACTAATGAAAATGATGTGTACGGTGGAAGATACCTACAAAAAGTAATTAGAAAATATAAATCATGTAAAAAGACAAAACCATACATTTTATTTCAACCTCGGAGTCTATGTATAAAGACCGAAATATTTGAACCATATTTATTTTGAAACACCAATAACATTTTTCAAATGTATTTATACTTAATTCGTTGGTTAATTGTCATATTCATTTGAAATTCATACAACTTTTCAACTTATCATATTTAATTGTTTGGTTAATTGAAATATTTGTCTATATAAAAACATTATTTTCATGTTTGGTTATGAAATATATTAGAAAGAACTAAAGGTTGATATCAAGGTCTTTCAACTGTTTTCTCAACTGTTTTATACAGGTTAGGATTATGATTGGTCTTTTTACCTAAACTAATAAAAAAAGACACTAATAAAAAAAGACCTTAATGCTAGGTAAGTATGAAGTTACCTTACATAGCTTACTTTCTATGTAGCACTAACTAATAAAGTAAGAATTTTATATATTGTGTTGATAGAATTTTAAGTTTTGATTTTGAATGAAATATTATTGGTGTACGGCTTTTTGAAAATTTTAGAAAAATAATTTTACACACTTTGTTATGGTTGATATTATGTTATCATTGCATTTGTTCGTTTGTGTTTTCATTTTTATGTTTTACACAACAATGCGTGTTTGAGTGTCGCTAAAAATGTTACATTATTTACTCATGTTGACAATATTCTCTTTTATAGCCTTCTTTTTTAAAGTGTTTAATTTTTATATACACAATCCTGCTATTTTAATTGTTTGTTTCATTTGTAATATTATCATTTTACTCATGTTGATTTTTTTTCATAGTTTTCAGTGTTTAATTTATAAGTTTCTCATAAAATATACAAACTTATTTTTTATAACCAAATAAAGACTTCAATGTAAATCTTTTGGGAATCTATTGATGCGATAAGTCATAAAGGCATCAAAAATTCATTATATTATATTTTTTTATATAACTCTATGATTCTTTTTACTTTATAAATTTCACTTAGAAATATTTCTACAAATTATTTATCACAAAACCTAATTTATGATATTTAATGATCAAATTAACAATCATCGACACTCGATGTTTATAGTTAAATTATTATGGGTATAATGAGCTTAGAAAATATAACAGTGTTACAAAGTAAATTGGTTATTCGCACGTTATTAGTCCATGTACACACTTTACACATCAACGAATATATATATATATATATATATATATATATATATATATATATATATATATATATAGCCAAACTTAGTACGTAAGTCCCGTTAAAAAATAATATAAGAGAAAAAGAGAGACTAACATCATCACGATGAACAATACCAATATGGAAGCATTGATGGTGGACAGGTCGACAATCGATTCTCCAGTATGCCTTGTATTTACAGTCTCAAACAAAATCCCAACAAGTTTTTGGTAGAGATCAAGGTCTCTCAAAGAGCCTGAACTCCATTCCATTGATGAAAACAAAATAAATTGCAACATGATAAAAGCTAAGACTGTAGTCGCAAGAAGTAACGAGTCTTGGTAAGAAAGAAGATGATTATACCCAAGTACTTTGGAGTTCTTTAACAAGTACCTAGCTTCAGATTTTTTGCTAAATATCCATATGACCCAAATCGTAAATCTCAGAACTGGAGGGTACAAAGTGTTACCTAATAGAGCTTGAGGGATAAGGATTAACAATAGAGCAGAATTTTTGCTGAAGGGCATCATGTTTTCGTTGGTTGGAACAAACCCACAGTTTGCAAAGGTTGAAGTTACAGTGAAGATGGAAAAAGTGAGTGGCCTTAAATCCTTTTGCTTAAGTATATTTTTGGCACTTGAGATGACATTTACGTATATGAAAACTGAGACCACACCCAAGATTTGGACAAATACCAAGTAAAAGAATACTACGAGACACAAAAACTTGAAGGATTTGTACTTTAGTTCCTCCATATCGACATCATTTGTAGAGACAATTTCACAGTCAAAAGTGTCAGATTTTGAACTTCCAGATTCACGGATGGCTATTTTATGGAGCTCTATATTATCCAGACAAATGGATTGTGTGTTGAGGTAGCACATAGGGGGATCTACTTTACAACCATCGTTACTAGACTCTTTTAAAAAAGCCCGACGGAGATGGAGAGTAACCATTGAAATGAACACCTCACCACCGATAACCATAAGAATTGTTAGAACGACAAGTTGGGTGTTCGAAAAAACCTCCATCTCGACAGTGGACATGCTGGAAACAGTGGCTGCTGAGACAGAGGTGAAGAATAAGTCTAAGTTCCGAGGGGTGAAGGTGGTGGTTTTTCCATCCATTGACTGGAGGATAAAAAACCCTATGGACGAAATAAATAGAAAATAGAACAAATTTATTGGAAGTTTGTTTCCACCAAGATGAAACCAAGTAGAGCGACAAAGAGATGGACTACAAAGTTGTTCCAACATCTTTCCCACATAGGAAAATACTTTCATCTTTTCGTTTATAGGACTCAACATAAACTTGTATATGTCGAAATGAAAGAGTGAGTGATATGCTAGATGTTTGGAGCTTTATATGGATGGGAAGGCATTCAAAATTAGTAATGTTGCTAAATGCTTTCTTTTCCAATTATAAACAAACGGACGTATATCATTTATTATATTTTTAGTTTGCATTTATTCCAATTTGTATCAAATATTATATTCTATTCCTATTGGAAAATCCTATTACTCCTTTCAAATAAAATAAAAACAAAATATTCACAAAATTACATAAATGGTCCATGTGTTTCATCAAAAGTCACAAAGCCATCTCCGTTAATTTTTTTTATGTAAATGGTCTCTGTGGTTTCTAAATTTGCACGAATAATCCCTATGGTTTCTAAAAGTTTCACGGTTGGTCCCTAAGCAAATTGAAATGACCTTTCTACCCTTTTTAATTTATATTATATTTTTTCTTGATTAAATATAACTTAGAGAGAAAAAGAAAAGAAAATGAAAAAAACGCCTCCCTCTTCTCATCTGGGTTAATGTTGTCGGAGAACTACATCTCACGTCGACATCTTCATCATGTTGCTGAAAAACTAGATTTTACGACACCATCAACTTCATCATGTCATCAGAGAACCTTAGATTTTGAACTTAAATCTCCATTTAGTTACAAGACCCACATTACCGTCTCGAGAATCTATCACAAAATTGTATACAGATATCGTGAATCTGTAAATGCACAACCAAACATCAAGAGACTATATATGATTGGCGACATCATAGGGTCACTTTTCTAAAACCATATCCGTCGGAGAACCATCGCGCCATAACATTGATCACAAATTTCTATTTCAGTTTTAATTTGGCAAAATCACTAGGTCAAATTTGAATTTATGCCACATATATCATGTTAAAAATCCTTAGTCGGTCACCCTCTCTTTTCTTTATGCAAGTCTCTCCAGTAAAGAAACTGCTTTAGGTAAACCTAAAGAAATGGGCATTCCCCATATTCGTGGTTCTTATATTTTTCAACACCAAACCTATTGATCGATCCAAAATGAAGGGGGTTCTCTTTTAAATTTTCTTTCAGATGTCTATGATTAAAGGAGAGGAAATACGGAAAACATACATGCACCATTTTCTTCTCGCACCTGTACGGATGTTTTCCCTCTACAAAGCTACTGATCATGTAAATATCAAACTGTATACTCCAATAGCCACTTATGATTTATGAATTTCTCACCAGGTCAGATTATGATCAATGGTTAATTTGATTGTTTTGATTGAACTCACCAATTCATCGCCATCATCAAGCAAGAACAAACCCAAATCAGATTCTTGTATATATGTGTTCCTCTGTATCTTGAATTCCCTTGAAGCGAATCGACATTTGATTTCAATTTCTAGAACAAACATCGACATCCCTTGGACCATTGTTATTGTATTTGCATGGTCCTCTTCTTGACTATATTGGCATCAAGGAAATGATACTACTAGAAAGATTGAAAGATAGAGTGTGTGGATCTTCATGCTGCATGATGTTAATTCACAAAAAACTGTACAAAATCAGATTTGTAAAATACTAATCGAGTTTAGGGCAAAACAAGGACCATGATCTAACGTCTACAATCGATGAAAACGATGAAGACGGCAAGAACATATCCAACTGAAACTCAAAACCCTAATGAAACTCGACAGAAGATATGCGTATGAGTTACACAATCTCTTGCTCTGATACCATGTGTTGGGTCAAACCTCAAGAACGATTTGGTGATAATAATGCAGAATATAAGAACGAACACAATAATGAAGATGTGATTGAAGAACAAAATATTTTATTCAAGAACATGAGGAAATTACACTATAAGAAAAGATTAAAGTAAATCTATTCTACCTAAGAAACCTCATTATGATTGGCGGCTACATCTTGCTTCACTCTTAACCCTAATATTTTATTCAAAACAATTGTTATGCTCTGATACCAATTTTGAAACAATAACCTTAAGATCGATATATTCTTAACAGTAATGTGAATCGAAGACAAGAATGATGATCAAAGTTGTTCCGAATGCTTAATATTATCAAATCTTTAGAATAGTTCAACGTGAACTTTTCTGTAAAAGCTAAGTAGGACAATACAACTTGTTAACTCTAAACAGATACATGCATGCACCTTAAATAGTCTAACCCTAGCACCATAAATACGGATGGACAGACCCAACCCGTTAATAATTAAGACTATTAAGTACAAAACATTTTGACACAATACATTAAATAACCCAACACATCTACATATAAGCAAATGATCACTCAAGCTCTAGTAGCATCATCAAATCTACTATAAACACATTTGTCACATTGTTTTGTCTTGAAACCAAAAGACAAAATATCTTCATCAAATTTTTAATGCCATTTTTTAGGCGTTTGTTTAAGCCCATACAAAGATTTGACAAGTTTACAAACCATATGCTCTTTACCGGGCATAATGAAACATTCTGGTTGTTTCATGTAAACTTCCTCGTCAAGATCACCATTTAAAAATGCAGTTTTCACATCCATTCGGTGAATAACCAGATTGTGGATACTTGCCAAGGTAATCAACTATCTAATAGTAGAAATACGTGCAACCAGAGCATATGTATCAAAATAGTCAACACCGGGTTTTTGTCTAAAACCTTGAATAAATAACCGGGCTTTGAACTTGTCAATAGTCCCATTAAAATTCATTTTCTTTTTGAAAATCCATTTGTAACCAAGTGGTTTAGAACCTAGAGGCAAATCAGACAACACCCATGTGTTGTTCTCAAGAATTGATGACATTTCATCATCAATTGCTTCCTTCCAAAAGGCACTATCGCGAGACTCCATGGCCTCTTGATATGTATTACGATCATCTTTAATACTATAGCAATAAGAGTATTCAAGATTAATTTCATCCCTTGAACCTTCCACCAAATATAGTTGGAAGTCGGATCCAAATTTTTTCGCAATTTGGCCTTTCTTGCTTCTACGAAGCTCTTGTGGTTCTTGTACATTACTACCATCTTGACTTTCTGAATTTTGCACTTTATTTGTACCAAAAGTCAGATCCTTAGGCCTTTGAATTGATGAAAAACGCATCTCATCAAAAATTGCATTCCGTGATTCGATAACGGTGTTAATCGAAACTGAATCATTAGGTTCTTTTACATAAAATATATATGTTTTGGAATGTTGAGCATAGCCAATGAATATAAAATCAATTCCACGTTCTCCTAAAATTTTCATTTTGGGCTCCGTGAGTTTTACAACTGCCCGACATCCCCAAACCCGAAAGTAACTTAGATTCGACTTTTTCTTGAACCAAAGTTCATATAGGACTATTTTGTACCTTTTATTTGGAACCATATTTAATAAATAGCAGGTCGTTAACATGGCCTCTCCCCTAATCCATCACTCAATCTCGAGCATGACAACATTGAGTTTACCGTTTACTTTAAAACTCGATTTTTGCGTTCAACAATACCATTTTGTTGGGGTGTGTAAGGTGTCGTGGTCTCATGAATGATACCCACTGATTGGAAGTATATGTGATCCATATATTCACCTCCCCTATCAGTCCTAAGACATTTAACCGGAATGCCCAAATGTAATTCCACCTCGGTTTTGTATATTTTGAATTTATCTAAGGTTTCATCATTAGAATGTAACAAATACATATAGCAAAACCGAGTGCAGTCATCAATAAAAGTGACTACATACTTTTTATTTCCCAAAGAAGAAGTGGATTGAAAATCACACAGGTCACCATCTACAAGTTCCAAAACAGTTGAATTTCTACTGACACTAGGAAAGAGCTGTTTTGTCACTTTTGTAAGCGTGCATGTTTTACATTTATCAGATGTCATATCAAAGGCTGGAATTAATCCATCTTTTGACATCTCATGCATCCTTCTAAAGTTGACATGACCTAATCTTACATGCTAAAGCATAGATTGATCAACATTAGAAGCAGAAGTTAAAAATGCAGAATTTTGAATAGGTAATGATTTGTCAACAATATTCAAACGAAACATTCTATTATTTAAATATCCAAAGCCAACAAACATTCCACCCTTAGACAAACTAAACTTATCCGACTCAATAACTTGTTTAAAGCCATCAGAATTCAAACAACTAGAACTAACAAGATTCTTGCGAATCTTGGGAACAAACAAAACATCAAAAAGCCTAATTGTCTTTCCAGAAGTAAATTCAAGACACACGACACCTAAACCACAAATAGGAATAAAATATTCGTCTCCTATTTTCAGCACCGACCCATCTTCAAGCGGAGTTAATGTTTTACACATCCGTTTATCCTTGCATACATGGTTCGTTGCCCCGGAGTCGATCCACCAAGCAACATCATCATCCTGTATATAGAATGATTCAGGAATGAATGAAACATAGTAATCATAATTCTTATTAGAATTATCAAAGTTAGTCAAAAACTGACCTCCTTTAACTTGGACCGAAGACCCATTCACCTTCCCATTGGATCCACTATTTCTAGCACCATTGTTGCCTAAATTCATACGACAATCACGCTTGCAATGCCCAACTTGATTGCACCTCTAACAAACTAGATCCTTTCTCTTTTTGTTGGAGTTTCTTGGGACATATTCCTTCTTACGTTTGACATGTCCTTTGTGGTTCTGATTCCTTGGTTTGTTTTCAACCATATGAACCGAGGGCTGTCCAGATTCAACTTTTCCTTTGGGTTTATCAGATTTTTCACTTTCCTTCGCACGAAGAGATTCTTCAATACAAATGTGACTAGCAAGTTGAACCAAAGACAGTTCCTCCTTTTGATGATTTAAGTTATGTTTGAAGTCTTTCTAGGATGGAGATAGTTTGTCAATGATGGTTGACACATCAATGGATTCATCCATACTCATACGGTGCAGTTTAAACTAACCATATATGCCAATGAGTTCATTGTATTGTTTAGTGACAAACCTTGAATCGTCCATCTTAAAATTATTAAAGTCACTAACCAGAAACTTCTTGCTAGAAGTATCCTCAGTGATATACTTCA